TTTACCCAGATCCGGTAATCGTTGTGTTGGTTGTTTTTTCTGTTGTTTTTTTTTAACTTATTATGGATGAAGTGATGTTGCCTGAACAACTTGCAAGTCAATCCGCAATGCAATTTCCTGTTATATAAAATATGACAGGTTTGGCACCTAGTTTACATTGAAAACTGCATTGAAAATTAAAATATATGACAACGCACGAAGGAAAGATAATTTATTTGGTACTAGCTAACCCCTTCATGTTAGATATAGAATGCATGTGTTTGTTATCATTGTAAAAATAAGTCATCTATATGTAGAAGAGTACATTTATATTAGAATATGTTTGATATACGTATGCTATAAACTTCTTGAAAGAACTGATAAACAGGGGGGGGAAATTCCACAGTCCACCGACGGTTATACCAGGGAATCTGGAACAGCATTAGTCTTAGTGACTTGAAAATATGAAAGGAAAATGTAAAATCAGACGTGCTTTTCGTGAAAATTACTCATTTGCATAATATACTGTAGTAAGTCTATTGTACCTATATAATTATAGGGTGCTGGAAAAAGCGACCTAAACATACGATATCGCAGAAATAATGAACGAGCCCCCGAAAATTTGGAACATCGTTAGTCTTGGGGACCTATATTCGTGTACGAAATATGAAAGGGAAATGTTCAATCAGACGCGGTTTTCGTGAAAATTACTTATTTGCGTAATATACCGTGTGTATAAGAAACTAGAAGATTTTCAATGTCCAGAAAACTAGCATTAACATATCTCAAAAATGTATTTACACCTAAATATTTTAGCATCTCCTCTGCCAAGCAGTAAAAACATTTGGAAAATTGAACATGAAAAGCGTGGAGACTGGATAAGTATAGTTTGTGAAAGCATCATTTTCAACATTTTTACTCCTATATAAGCTTATGTATCTATCTATCTAAAGACCCAGGAAAAGAAAAGATGTTCTAAATTTCAGTGAGGTTCGTCATTACTTCTGTATCCTAAGTTAGGTTCACTCTTTCCAGCACCCTATAGAATTTATATTATATATTATATATATTATATATAAAAGAATATATAATATATATTATACACCTAATGTATGCCCCTGAGGGAAATAGTGAGTTTTGTTTTTCCAGGGAAACATTGAGACTCGAGGGAAAACAAAACTCACTATTTCCCGAGGTGTAGCGTAGATTAAGTGTTTTGTTATATACGAACAAAAACATACAAGTTACACGACAATTTCATTTCAAAAAACTTTGTTATGACAATATGCGGGCAACAATTTATTTAAAGTCATGTGACTACGAATGAACCAATCATGCACATTTAAAATAGTATTCTATTCCTCAACACTCGCATTCAAGCCGATTATGGGTGAAACCTCACCCTGCAGATTGTACAATAAATGAAAGGCTACAACAACAACAGCGTTATTGAAATCTCACTCAAGCATTACCGGTGAAATCTCACCCTGACCGTTTCACTACTGGCACAGCGGTGGTGAAATCTCACCCAAGCCGATCGTGGGTGAAACCTCACCCCGCAGATTGTACTCCCCAAAGAAAAATCAAGACATATCGTATGGCTAGTATTATTCAGCGCGATAGTGAATCGTCGTCTTGCTGCAACAATGAATCGCAGTTTACATATTCCAATTGATGGAATGTTAATGATATTTAATTAAGGATAACTAATGCAGGCTATCGTAGGCTGAAAGACATGCTTAGACAATGAATAATTGTAAAAGAATGTAACGCTCTACTAGCAAATGATCGCTCTGATGATGAATTACAGAGTAAGACTAAAATGTGGCGGACAGAAAATGAAGTGATTTTGCATGATGACAAAGTGAAATAGAGCTCGTTTTACCTCTAATTCATCTTGTTGAGGTTGTTGTGCCTGTGGCTGTCCAGCTGGGGCGGTCAAATCATTCTGTTGTTGCATCGGCTGGCCTTCAGCTGCCGTATGTTCTTCTATGGGTCGTTCTGCATCACCAGCGTCTTCTTGGGGCGCTTGTGTTATATTGTGAGCGTCGCGTTCGACAGGGTATTGAACACGTCGGTCGTCTGCCATGAGTTGGTGGGTCGTACGAAGGCTTACACGTCTTAGATACCGCTTTCGACTACACACCTGACCGCTCAAAACTGAGCAAGAATGGAGCTTTGTCTAATTCTCGGGTTTTATACCCTTCCTAGATGCAAAACATTTGTGTTTATTACACGCCTGGCTTGTTTTAATCCTTTCAAATCTTATTCCCCAATTTGCATATCAATATGAATGTTAAGAATAGACAGCACCTATATAACAATACAGTATACAATATGCTAAAATTCATTAAGTTTGCTCCTATACATGTACGTACCATTCTACTTTCTAGATAGCCCTGCCCGACTCCTGTATATATACCGTGAGTTGGATTCGAACCAACTATTATTCCACCAGGCACAGTTTTTTTCTATAACAGAAATCTTTTGGCACCATAACTGGCTGTTTCTATACTATTTTATTTCGTATAAGTAAACCCTATATACATGAATATTTATTTAATTCAATATTATCTTAATAAAATTGGCAATATCATTAGCTCCATACAAAGTCCATATTGTTACATTTTATATGTGACAAAAACACGATCCTTCAGTTAGTTAAACTTAACAACGCTTGAAAAAACATCCTAGTAAGAACTCCGTCTACTAAACTTAGAGATTATATTCAACATTCAACATTCCAGATGATAACGTTGAGATTGAAATTCGACAACACAAGGACTTCACATGCTACATCCCGAAACATCTCTGCCGGCCATACGGTCGCCGGGTTGGCGCCTGGTATGTGTGTACCAGATATGAGCTTGGCACCAACAGTTAGATGAAGATAACAACTATGTAAAAATGTAGATAACAATGTAGATATGTAAATATATAACAATGTAGATATGTAAATAATAATGTAAATAACAATGAAGATATGTAAATAACAATGTAAATATGTAAATAACAATGTAGATATGTAAATAACAATGTAAATATGTAAATAACAATGTAAATATGTAAATAACAATGAAGATATGTAAATAACAATGAAGATATGTAAATAACAATGTAGATATGTACAATACAGTAACTGTCAATTGAAAAAACGTAAGCAGGAGTTTGGCCTACTAAGTTGCAATGCACTCCTTACTTATTTTTCTTTTTGACAAATGTCAGACAATTTCACTGTTCAACGAGGAAGCTTTGGAGCTTTAAACAGCTTTGGAGCTTTAAACAGGTTAAACCAATAACCTGTTACAAAGCTTCCGCCACTAACATAAAATTTGACAACCTCCCCAGTTATTGCCCATTAAGCTAAAAGGAGCCGTAGTGTGTCTTATTATCACTTTACTTGTCAGCATCAGACATTTTTACTAATCAGTGAGTAAGCTCTTCAGCTTAATGCATCCAATAAGGTTGCATCAAGCCTAAATGTGCTCAATTGTTCACTACTGATTTTTTTTTTTGGAGAAATGATGGATAATTTCACTTGTCAACAAGGAAGGTCTGCAGCTTAATATCTTAAAGAGCTTTCTGCTAACAAGTGAAATCATGTAATCATGAAATCATGTTGGCTGTTCTAGTATGCAACATTTAATATGCAATTGTTGACTGTTGCATGACTAAATGGTTGGGCTGGCCATGCTACTAATGTTAAGTCACTCAGGGTATTATTGTAAAATACAGACATAGATATGTAAACAATTGCTCTGCTAATTTTTTCAGTATTGAGCACTCTCATATCTTATATGAAAGGGTCATCAGTGTTTGTTATTCATTGGTTCATCATTGATTGTTCCTTCATTATAGGATTTTGTTTGGCCCACTTCGCAGTTGTTTAATATACTAATGTACCAGTTGTTCTAAGAGAGGTTTCTAGAAGTTTCTAGAAGTTTTCAAACTGCTGTTTTAGTTTGTGTATTTCTGCATATCTGTTCATTTAAAACTTCAGTGAAGTAAACTCATGCAGGCAAGATCTCTGAAGAAATACTTCAATATACACACACATAAAAGCTCAGTTTGCTGTGAATTTTAGATTAATTAATGTTAACCCAGTTTTTAAAATATAACAAGCTTTGAGAAACTAGCCCCAAGGAGTAAATGTGTGGGTTGGAGCAAGTATACAGTATGTTAAACACCTAGAAGGCGGGCTGTATGTGATATACATGCAGTATACTCTCCTGACGAAGGCCCTCAGATCGAAACGTCGAGAAGTGTTTTGTCTATTTAGGCAGTTGTTATACCACATTTCATGCTAAGTTGTTCGAAGACGCTGCCACGCTGCTCCTTGGTTATATTGGAACTAGTATACGAGGTGTTTCATACTTAAATCACTATTAAAGAGGTTTATGGGACTTTGTTTTCCCAAGCTAGAATGTACAGTATTTGACACGTGTTTAATATTGCATATTCCTATAAAAATATTATACGCCATCAATATTATCCAGTTCATAATCAAGAAGATATCTATCTAGTTTACTAGTATACACAGACCTTCAAATTCTTTGCTTCGATTCTTTCTTTGATTCATTCTGTACTTTTATATTATATACAAAAAGATAAAAATGCCTTCTCAACTGGTCACCCGTTCCACACGTTATCAGCAATATTGTATTGTAATTATCAAAACATTGTCAGCAATAGTATATTGCATTGTTAAGAAGCCAACCTGCACATCAGGCATTAGTCGCGGGCTGGGGTAAGCCAAAGGCAGTGAAAATTACCCAAGATGGCGGCCGTGTATGGGCTGTAAATTTACATATTCAGCGTTTCTGCGTTTGTAGTTCTCTGGTGTTTCAAGTTACTATAAGTGTGATGTATTTTCAGCCCGGAAAAAGGAAAGGTAATCATGGTATAAGAGTCTTTGATGTGGCAAAGAAAACGTCAGCCGTAGTTCGGTTACCTACGACTATAAACGATGAGATTGGCGATTGCGCATCGATAGATGAATCCATTTCGAGTAGCCCCAACTGCAAGTTTTGAGTGTGCGAACGATGATTCTGCTGAACATGATTGTGAACTTCCGCATTCAAGCATGTCGAAGCCCCATCATGTTCGAAAAACGCGATTATCTGCAAACTGGGAAAAGATACGTGCCAAGCTGACACAGACATCTCTTCTCCTAGAGGGTTTTATTCCGCCACAATGTTCCAACTGCAGTAATATGGTTGAAGCTCGTTGTCGCGACTGTGAATTTGGAGCATATTACTGCTTGGAATGTTGCAACAGTGTGCATAGGAATAAAAACCAGTTCCATCTTCCGGAAGTTTTCCAGGTATGTATGGCGAGTTGTAGGTTACATCACACTTAACTTGAAACACCAGAAAACTACCAACAAGTGGACAGATAATATCTTATGAGTGCCATATCGTTCTGATATATTTAGTTCTGGCTTATGACATTTAGATATATGTTCATGTGTACATATTTACTGTATGGATTTACATTCGCTAGGATGGTTGTTGGATCAAATATGAAGTGCCTGGACGAATACTGTCCAATCCATTTCATGCTTGTAGTGGAACATATAGAAGATCAATTACTGTAATTGATATAAATGGTATGGCACAGTGACACATTTCTGTATGTGTGTGTAGTTTATCATTCTACATATTTATATTTTACTGGATGCATACCTCTATATCTACCCACATTTATATGTATACCATATTTACATTTATTGTATACCATATTTATTAATCCTTTTTTATCCTCAATTATGCATTTTATCTAATAGTTATCTTTATCAAATACTGTGCAACTATACAATCTTTTGTAACAGGTTCTCATCATGAAGTAGAATTTGAGTATTGTACATGCTCAAGCATTCCTGAAACACTGCTTTTCTATGGGCTTTGGGCAGCTACGCCGATGGAACCAACATTAGCCTTCACAATTCCGTTAATGAAAATGACATTGGCATTGATGATGGAATGTCATGTCTCAATTTATGATCTATCCAAAGCGATGAACTTTTTTGACAATCCTCTTTTAAAGGTAAGCTGTCTATAGATCTAAATTGTGATCAGTATGCATGCTAAAACTGGCTAAATATATGACTAGCTTTTGGCCTAAATAACTAATTGTATTCATAATTTGACACTCATACCACTACTAGTTGTAATTCATTAATACTTATTGTAATTCATTTAGCATAATTTTGTATAATATTTTCATTTAAGAAAAGGAAATTTTATGAACAATTTCTGGAATCCTTTGAAGAATTTAGGTAGCTAAAATTACTTAAAATTTATCAATATCTAAACAACAAACTATGTGAACATTACCAGCATTGATTACTATAATTATACTGTTACATAGGTATCATTTCAGATCAACATCATTCTATGACAGTGAAACTGATACTACTGACACTCCTGTACCAAAATGCCCAGCATGTCCCAAGGTGTGTACTTTTTAAGATATTTTGATAGAGATATCTCCTGATTGTAGTGATAAGTCTCAATAGCTCAATGGCAAGAGCGCTGGTATGTTTATGACATGTCAGAGATTCTGTGGTTCGATTCCCAGTTGGGACTACTGCTTTTATTCGTTTTTCTAGAGTATTAAAACTAATATAGTCGTTTGTCTGTTGCACTAATACTAATAGCCGTTTTTTTAGAATGAAGGAAAATTATTTGTTTCGCTTGATGCATGTTTTGGCTTGCCAAGAAAAAAAACATCTGGCACGAGTTACAGGGAACCATTAAGTGCAAACATGTACTTCCACAATCAAGAAGAAGTAGACACGTTTCTTAAGTCATATCCTGGAAGCATCTGGAGACACACGAGCTGGAAAGGTAATACTAATATTTTTATAAATCAAGTTACAGTTATTGGTATCCATCAAATTCAGTGTTGATGCTTTAGCCCCACGGAGTTTTTAGACTCCAGGCCGAGAAAGCAAGTTAATGCTATTACGAGTTGCAACTCATTGTCAAAGATTCTCATCAACTCCCGAGTCTCCCGTTAACTCGAATCGACTTTTAACTGTGTTAGCTTTTGGTACAGGTCGGTGAGTGGACAACTGAAATCTCAACTTGCATCAATTTGTAGAAACTAGCATTGTTTTGCATTAGGGCTTTGCCGGCTGTGAGCCATATTAAACAAAATCTGAACTTTCAAAGAAAGATGCGTTACAATATAAATGTCAATATCTTCAAGCAGCGTTGCACTAACAACTTCGTATCGAATGTGGTATTAACAAGTGCATGATGTAGAAAAATACTTCTCGACCTTTCAACTTAAACGTCTTGGGCCAAAGTTTACCATACTGCGCTTACGAGTTACGAAGGCCGTCTTTACTACTAACTTCTCCTACTGTCTGTTTTAGGCAGTTGTTTTATCACATTTAAAGTGCCTATCACTCGTGGAATCTTTATGCATTTGAAAAGAATGTAAAAAGTTAGTTAATATATTAAAAATGTTTTTTGGTTTAGTGCAATAACTTTGAAGATACCAGCCTTTAAACTACCTGCAGTTCCTGAGTCCCAGGCTCCTGTAAACAATGGACAGTTTTAAATTTAATAGCCGTGCTTAAACCCAGGAGGTTGGGACTCAGGAACCGCAAGTAGTTTAGAGGCTTGTATCTTCGAAATTATTGCACTAAATCAAGAAACGTTTTTTAACATATTAACTAACTTTTTACGTTCTTTTCAAATGCATAATGATCCCACGAGTGATATAGGCACTTTAATGGGAAGTCAAAAGAAAAGCAAACATAAAATGCTGGATTATTCTAAAATTTGAAAAATTGCGTGTTTCCTCAAATGACAAGGAGAATTAAAAACAAATGTCTAGTGAAAAAAGTCTTCATCAAGCAAATCAAAGTTTGCAAGTGTTTTATATATTTTATTGTAGGAATGCAGTGACTTTAAGGCGGGTTCTGAAATAACATCTAAAAGAAGATATGACGCACTTGATGAAACTGCAGTTTGTGGGCTTGCTTGCAAGCATGGTTTTCCAATGGATTTTGTAAATTTGAAAGGCGGAGAGAGGTTATAGGACCTTTTTGTATTTTACCGATGTGGTTAGGTACAACTGTTACTTTAGTCTTAGCATCATTTATTAATTTAAATTTATAGACTTGGGTATGCCGTCGATTTACTTAACAGCCTGACATCAACAATTCAGGATGGAGTAATGGTACATTTCATGTATGACATATGCTGTTTGCTGGAAGCTCATTTGAAGGTATAAAAAGGATGCCATAATCATGCATGGAATCGAAATTACTGCATGACAATTAAGTTACTGTCCAGTGGCGTAGCCAGCATCGATAATTGGGGGGGGGTCCATATTCATATTCATGTAAACAGACTGTAAAGACAATTGATTTGAAAAGAAATTAATCCTGCGTATCACGAATATATGAATATGCCCCCCCCCCCAATTATCGTTCTGGCTACGCCGCTGTTACTGTCATTCATTTCAGATTATACGTGAGTCAGGCATTCGCTTGCATGTCTTCATGTATATCCCACTTCATTTGACTGATTAATAAACAATTATCAAAGTTTTAGCATTATTTTCAAAGAGCACTTTGAGAAAACCTTTTTTTTAATATATTGTATTCTCCTTCATATATTTTGTTTAGAAGCAAAATAATGTTGATTTGCTCAGCAAAATTAAACTTGCCTGCCCTCAGTTTCATGTTTATGGCCATGGTGCAAAATGTCAGGTATCCGATCAGGGTTATGATTTGTATCCGATCAGGTTGATTTTACGCTATTTAGTGAAAATGTGAAACCTTTGATTATTTCACTTTCAGCTGTTATACAGCCCACGACGACTTGAAGGTTGGGGATTAGTTGACGGCGAAGTTTTAGAAAGATTGTGGTCATATTTGCGGTTATTCCGTAAAATGACAAAAGAAATGGCTGCGAGTCATAGGGAAGACATCTTGTCGGATGCTCTTTTTTATTATTCCAAGAAACAAACGTCAAGAACAGGTAATTTAAGTTTTAAAAAATGTCCGTTCAATACATCATGCAACCATATACGACGAGATCGAAATATATATATATATATATATATATTGATCATTCCTTGTTAGTTATATTACTGCATACTCAAAGACAACGATGCCTGCTTCTTGGTAATTCATCTTTAATGGAACTGGAGGATCTTCGTAAAAAAGTTACTGGTGAGTGTTCCCATGCATCCGTTCTTTCTTTCATATGTCTGTTTATTTCCTTTCAGCCTTTTTTCCATTTGTTTAAAATGCACGATGAGCGTTACGCACATCACATATAAATATATATATATATATATATATATATATATATATATATATATATATATATATATATATATATATATATATATATATGTGTGTGTGTGTGTGTGTGTGTTTTTGTTGTTAGTGAGTATAACAGATGCAATGCTTGCAAGATGGAAACAACAAGAGAGTGACTATTTAAAAAAATCTAAACCAGCCGAAGGTATTTTTGTGTACATGTAGCTACATTCTGATAGTATAATGCTGTGATGCTTTAATATTTCTAGATACGCACTAATGTAATGCATTTAGAATTTTAATTCATTATTAAATATTAGTATATTTATATTATGGCGCTTGATTTGTATATTATAAGGACATTTCATATAAACATTTATTACATGCGAATATGTTTAAATTTACCTAGTTGATATAGGCCCTCACAAGTGGGTGCTGGAGTATTTTTCACTGCTACGTCAGTATTATTCTGCAAGGTATAAAAAGACCTCTCCCATGTTTCCAATGCATCCATGAGTATAGGTTTTCGTGTAACTCGTATATATGTTTGCAATGTTCGTATATAATGTAAGTAAAATTCATAAAATCTGCTATATCATTCCTGAATATTTTATCAATCACCATTATTATAGAGACCAGTTATCAGAAGGAGAAAGTGACAGGCAGCATACACATCTGATGGTTGTTATGAAAAGGTATAGATATGCAGTGCTATATAAAGGACCGTACAAAACATTAAGAACAATCACAAATATAATGAATTCTATATCGGTGCAGTTTAAACTGTTTTCGGTATATGTTTACAAGATATACTCATAAGCTACTGACTGATATTTGCAACTTGTAAACTAAAAGTGCACCAGATTAAAATAATAGGGAAATTTCAATGGGATGTTTCTAACGAACCTGAAGCAATGAATCGGCATATGCTAACGTTCAGAGTCTAATCAAAGTGTGTTTCATAACCTTTAATTCATGAATTGCTGAGTATAGACATGGACCACAAATTCAATTCTCCATTTTCAGTCTAAACAACCGTCTGCTCAAGTTAGAAGCAGAAAATAAGATTCAAACAAGATGGACACCCACGGATCAACGTTACATGTCCAGTTTGAGAGCGCAGGAAATGGTTAAGGCAAAACAGACGCGTGATATGATGCTGGTAACTGGAAGAAGACGATGGTTTCTTTTATGTTTAAAGAAAAAATATGCAGGTAATTTTCATTCGAAAAATACCACCTTAGATGGGCAGTTCAATGAACAGGTCAGGAATAGATAAACCAGAGCATGTTCTTTATGTCTTGTTCACCGAAATTGGTGCAAATTAAGATCCAGTTGCAGTGTACAGGTTCTTATACTAATGTTTA